TGACACTCAACACTATCTTACTTTTCTGATGGTGTACATAGATTCTCGAGTATATAGGATAGGAGGCCAGATATTTGGGTACTTGTAACAGGCAGTTGTGCTACTGGAACTCAGAAAGGTTCATTGTTTTTCATTCATGGAATGCCCTTAGTTTTAGCTTTTAATTCAGAAAATAGTAAATGTATTACTTTTAAGTAAAATGTATCATTTGAACCTCCACATGTTAATTCAATATACCTGTGGATGAGGTTTTGACATTACAGTATAAGAGCTGTGCTGAACTTGAGGGCTTGTGGAACACGGATATTTTCGAAGTTTAACCTGATTTGTGTATAGTGAGTGTCTGCCAGTACTTCACTGGTGGAGCTTTTAAGCAGCACTGCAGTTTTATGCTTGTTTACTATTACCCCAGAGAGCCCTTGCTTCTGTGCTTCCTACTCTTCAGCATGTTTCTTCTTTTTAATATGACCTGCCAAGTTTTCCTTTTTCTACTTTGCTTTTACCATTTTGTGATTAAATTTTTGTGTTTTCCTTATAGAGTGGTCCTTGTTCCTCCCTAATTTCTGTGTCTTGCAACATATGCCAGGAATAGCTCAATCAAATACTCATAGGGATCTGTTTATCTTGGAAATTTTACCCTGTAAGTCCAAGAAAGCTCACTTGTGTTCTGTATTTTAGCTGCCAGTTCCATGGAGATGTCTAAAGTACTATAGAGTATCTCAAATAGCACTAAATGCCTCTTTCAGGAGCTGAATTGTACTTGCTATTTCTTTTTCATCTTGCTGTGATTTTGCCACTGTATTCTTCTCCTCTCCTAATCTTTCCCAATTTTTTCCATCTCCTACAGTCACAGCTTAAATTGTCTCATTCTGTTCCTCAAAGCACTCCTCCTAGCAGAAGTGCCTCCCTCAGGACCTCATCTTGGACTTCTGCTAACAGTATTTGTGCTAAGAACCATCATCTCAAACTTCTTCCTTTCTCAGACATTCCCTCAGTAATCATCATAGCTGTGTGCTCCCTCAAACTTGTCTCCATGAAACTGCAGACAAATATAGGACAGAGAAGATTAAGATTTTGTTTAAAGTACAGAGGAAGCTGAGATTTAAAAAAAAATTAGCGTATGGAAAAACATGAGGATGCTAAGTGAAAGAGTAGTCTTTAATTACACAGCCATGCCCACTTGATAATTCTCTTTTGAAGTATGACTGGAAAAAAGAAGATTCTTCAAGCAAATTCAGAAAAGCAGCTTGAAATAGCAGAGCTGCTGGGGAATAGGAAGCAGGCAACTGGTTGTTTGCTTTAGGAAAGAATAGACCAGAATGAAAGACAATCAAGATGGATACTGAGAACAGCAAACTGAAAACACATTGTACCTCCTCTCCTCCAGGGATTAACTGCCCTTGGCTGATAAGGAAAAAGAAGCCTGTAAATGCTTTAGGCCTAAATGTACACAGCATTCTCTACACTTTGGGAGCACTGAGCAATCAATGAAATCTGCTAAATGCAGCTGTTGTCCATATTTAGCATACGTAAGGGGGTAATTCATACAAGTAGAGTTATGGTTTCCACAGTGCTTAATGAATGAATGAACTGCTAGTAATGGGATGTTTCAGTCTAAAAAAACCCCAAATATATTTTGCAATATGCAACTCTGCTGTTAATAGGAACCAGATCATCTTCATGGGGAAAAGATTGTGTTTACTACCTTTTCCAACATTTCTTTCCTACAATGATGCTTTTGTAATTTTCCATTTAGGTCAGTGCAACACTTCTGGGTAATCAAGAGAGGTGTTGAGGAGGAAATTTTAGCACAGACATTTGGGGGAAATAAATTTTAATTTCACACGATTTTAATTGCAAGACTGGGTATGCCAGATATACAAAGAATGTAAACCAGAAGGAAACACCTTGGCTGTCTTAGTGTATCCATGGAAAGTATGCAAACAGAACACTTGCCTGCCTTCATGTTACATCTGGTCTTATGCAGTTTTCCAAAAACTTTTGTTAGCAATTTTTAAGAAGCTTTACCTGCAACATAAGAACAGAGTTGTTAGGTCATGGCTGGGCCTTGTAATGAGCCTGCCCAAGATTCACTTGTACTATGTCACAAACTTATAGCTCAGAGCAGAGACTCCAGTGTATTATTGCAACCAAAGCTAAAGATAATGCTGTGAGTAGCTGTACTGAGTATGGTGCAAAATTACTTATTTTTGGAAGTAAAAGGCACCTTGATTGCTTGGCTACAGTGTTCAACTGCATCTGAGTCCAACTTGCCTGCATAACTGAATGTTCTTTTTATTTGCAGTGACTAAATTAGCAGTCTGTGCATTGAATTCTAAAACTTTATTCCCAGGATAAATTTTATAACTGCTATGTTTGTTATGTGTTTTTACAGTGTGAAACACACGAATCAACTAATAGCATAGTTCTTAATCTCTATTAGCCTGTTCTAAATCCTGCAAGGTATGAACTTTGTCATAATTAATTAAAAATGTAATTATTTCTCAGAATATATCATTATATAATAAAGAGAAATTTTTACTTGACTATGAAAGAGAAATGAAGATACTAGGTGTAATCCTGCAAATTTTAATACAACACTTATTATTCTGCTTGGCAACATGCTTCCAGCAGATAATTTTGCATTGCAAGTACATAAATAATTCTCTTCTAACTCATTCTTATGACCTTGTATCCCCTGTTCATACCCATAATAAGAGGAACAAGAAGTTAGTTTGCAAAGCCTGTTTCAGTTACTTTTAAATCCTAATGCACATCAAAACTCACAAAAAGTTCCCACTAACTTCAACATCATGTGACTTCATTCTGGTGGCCTTATACTTCAGGTAATTACTTTTCTTAGAAGGGCTTGTTAGGGAGAATAAGGGTTTATATGTTCTGAGCTGGGCTGGCTTCTGTGGATCAGCTGTGGTGTTGATGCTCTGTATTAGCACAGTGGTTTGCATTGGTGCATGGATGCCCAAGCACAGAGCTGCCATTGGCTTTGCACCAGTTGTGGACTAATTCTATGCAGAAATTGTTAAACAGAAACATACAATAAAAAATTGTTTGATAATAATGGAAAGTTTGTTTGTGATTAGTAGGAAGAAAATATGGACAACTGACTGAAACATTTTGCTGTCTAAATTATTTCTCTAAAAATTTTGTATGCTTATGTCCCTTATGATTCTTCTGGCAGGCAGCTTATTTAAAAGCATTTGAGACTTAAATTCTTAGTTTATGCCAGCACTTCAGACAGCAACCATAAGTAATTATGTTCACATACATGGATGAAGGCAATTGCCAGTCCTATTAGTGTCAGACAGTGATGCAGGTTTGAAAGTAAATGGCACTTCAGTTCATCTCATTTATGCCACTGACAAACTGAGAAGTTAATGGCTCCTGGGAAGTATTATGAGATCTACTAATTGAGAGCTCTACCATGCTTTGGATAATATTATTACTGTTGTTAGCATTAATTATAGTAGTAAAAACCATAACAGCAGCCAGTCAGGCAGAATGGCAGTATGTACCTAAGCAGGGAGTCTGTTGGATCCCTCTCCAGAATGCCTGTGCTCATGCCTAATAAGAAACATAATTTATTGCAAATGTCTTGTGGTTTGCAGGTGTTCTAACTCTGAAAGCATCAGATTCCAGTTATAGAGATGACCCTCAAACTTCTGTTTTGTCTCTTCCAATTTCTCCAGTGCATCTGAGATATTTCAAAGAATAGTAGGAAAAAGGCAGTTGATATGAGAAATGTATTACTACTGCTAGCTAATTGAGGTACTCAAAAAACAAGACTGAGCCTGCTGACCTAAAGGAGGCAGAACTGATGTTCAAGTTCTTAACAACATGTGGAAAAGAAAAGAAAGTTGCTAGAAAGCATTTTGTTGTGTGGGGAGTGATAGTTCTCTATCCATTGTGGTAGGCAAAGTATTTTTGGAAGGAAGAGGGAGCTCTCAATTTTGGGTTGTGGTAAGAGCTCTAGGTGAAACCTTTAACCAACCAGATGTGAATATCTTATGTTCTTACTAGCTCTGTGTTCCCAGACTTTTATCTATACCTTTACTTCCTGGCTGAGGGAAGGCAGAAGGTAGTGTGGATCTCATAATTTGTCATGGAATTAGGAGAATTTTAGCTGGGAATTGATTACAGGTGTGAATGTGTGTTTACATGTTTCTGTCTGCATGTGGAACTTGGAGATGTGGTTTAGTGGACTTGGCAATGTTAGGTTAACAGTTGGATTTGATGACCTTAGAAGTCTTTTCCTACCTAAAAAAATGTATGATTCTACAATCTGTTTATCTTTGTATTCCTGATTTTTTGTTATGTTGCATGAGCACATCCATGGCAGTGATGAGGAAGATAGCTCTTCTGGTCTGGGAGCCAGGAATCTTCTGATACAGTGTCTGTACTCACTTTCCAGGTGAGTTTCCATTAGGCACAAAAACAAACAGGAGGAGAGATCTTGCATTAATACCAGTGTGTGGAGATGGAGACCTGCTGAGTGTGCCTGGAATTTTTCTGGCACCCTGCATGGAAAGGAGTGCAACAGCTGGCACCAGGAATAGTACACTAGGATTGACTTGAAAAGTTCAAGGTCCTTCTCACCAACTCATGTTACTGATTTTGGCCCGAGTATTTGTATTATTAAAGACCAGTGAGTTGCGCAGTTCCTAGCTTTTGTTGGCTGGTGTCACTGAGGTTACTGAAGGCAACTTCAATATGTGTTTCTTGCATGCTTTTCCAACTGTGGCCTCCTCTTGACTTTCTCCTTTAGAGATTCCCTGTCTTGATACCATCCTCTTCCTCAAGTCTGGGGAATCTCTCTGGCCCCTTGCCCCCAGCTGCAAACCCCAGGGACGTGATGTTTGACTCTCTGTGGCCCCATTTCTATTTTGACTGTGTTGTTCCCCAAGTCCATTGCTTCTTGTCCTCCCCTTATATCCTTCTTAGCCTGCTCCCTCTTGTCTTTCCACCGTGCATCCCCTGTCAGCCCTGTATGTGCCACTGTGTAATTACACTGTTTCTCCTGCTAGGAGAGGATGTTCCTGAGATGCTGGTCCTAGTGTTGGTCTTCATCTTACTGTCTGCCATGAATACAGGAGGCTGTACCATGATTTGGGAAGATACTCAGAGCAATGGCTGGAGGCTGTGACAGCTGCAGTCCTTTCTATGGAGCATGCTGTGGTGGTCATGGAACATGCAGCTGGCAGAGGCTTTAGGGGTGAGATGCACAATATGAGTAACCTGTTTACTATGTGGCACATGTGATGAAAGGCTGAGTGGATGTGACTCCTGCACTGCAAAGGCTCAAGCCCTTTTCTGTGTGCATGCCACTAGAGCATGCCAATGTTTCCTTGGACAGGTATACCTGTGTAGGTTTTGCTGCTACAGACAAATAGCTTTTGTGAGTACCTATGGATGCTGAAAGCAGGCAAGAGGCACAGTGCCTGTGTGAAACTAAGTCACTCTGGCCTGGGAAAGGTCATAAGGAGGAATCGAAACAGTCCTTGGAGAAGGACAACAACCTTTTGCAGGTGTTGTTTAGGATCCTTCTTTTTTACTTGCAAGAAACAGTCAAGGGGTGCTGTTCCACTTAACCAATGATGGTGATGTGCAAGTTTAATGACTGATGAGAGTTTTACCTCTTGGACCTTCTCAGACCTGTCTATAAAAGATTGAGAATAATAAATTCACTCTCTTGGACAACCCAGCAAGAGAGTCAGTGTCGTACTTTCCACTGTTCCTAATATAGTGCGACAAGTACGCAGTTTCCTGTCTCATGTTTTTTCAGCTATAGCCACAAAAAATGAGATTTAGCTGGTCATTCCCTGCATTTTTGACACTGATCAGACATAACTTTCAAAAGTTATTGTTTAATGAAGAAATAAAAATACACATTAGACAGAATGGAGCACCTTCCCTCACCCAGTTGGTAATAAATCAGTGTACACTCCAGATAACATTGCTGACTGACACAGTATTTGACATCTCAGACCACTGTTTTTGCCAGAATAATCATCACTTTTTATTCTTGTCATGTACAGTACAATGCCAGTATGACTCATTGCAGTTTTTCTTTGAACATTTTTGAATAGTGTTTAGAAAGTATCAGATGGCCATCTTTTCCCCAGAAGTGATAGTGCATATAAATTGTAAAATGATTTTATCATTTCTGCTAGAGGTGAGGAATATGATCTTTTTTGACGCTTGAGGAATTTTGTCAGCATTAATTAAGGGGATTTTAATTGGATTTTTAGGAATTACTTCAAGCTATAAGAAAAATGTAATTTCCTGATTAAATTTTGCATAATTAAGTTATATTTTGCAAATCTTTGTAACCTACACCTTTTTACTTGTAAGCTAAAAGCATGGAGGAATTGTACAAATCAGAAGCTGAATTTGCTGTAGAAATGCTCTTACTAGTTTTGAATGTCTAAGAGCCTGAAAGTACTGAACCAAATGTAAAGTCTAATCCAAAATGTATTCTGTTGTGTGCCAAAAGTCATTATGCTGCTTTGGGGAATAAATTAATCAATTCTGAAGAGCTAGTCAAGAGAAATTAAATGGCAAAAGGATTATTAATGTAACATGAAGACAATGTAATTCAGGATACACAGCTCAAAGAAGAATTAACTTTATTATTCTTGCATATAGTAATTCAATCAAAAGTAATTTTAGTGACATCTTGAGAGGTACAAATAAATGTAAGAACTCAAATTTCTGTGGGCATCAAATGGAAGTTAACCACATCAAGACCCCTTTGTTTTTGAAAGATTCCCACAATCTTATGGACAAATCTGGTATTAGGAAGCAATATAAGATGGGAAAAGCTGAATGGGTGTAGCAGTAGATAACATAACCATTTCTCCTGCATCACTCCATATGACCCTGGTTTTGTGGATGTACAACCTATATACCCATCTGTCCCCCCCAAGTAAGACTGAAGTTGTCTCTATCTTTGGGACATTATACTGTATCTGTCATTGTGACAATTTGAAGATGCATGTCTGGAAGCCGAGTATTTAATTTTCATATTGTATCTGGCAGATCCTTGTGCTAAGTTCACTTTGACTGCACTATTTTTGGAAGGACTCAGCAGCGGTTGTTCTCTGAAGCTGTTCATCCTGAGTGCTGCCTCTGAAGTAGGATGGTGTCCTTGGCTGCTAGCAGGAAGTAAAACCTTCCCTCTCAAGTAGTACAAGAACCAGAACTGTGTTTGTACTTGAAATAATAACTTAGAATTTCATTTAAGTAGTCATTTATATAACCTGTTCACACTGTAACCCTCTCTGTAGCCTTCCCCCTGGCCCAGGCTGGCATTGGTGATAGCCGAGGATCCTTGGCTCTACTTTGCATGGGCCAGATGCATAACCCTGGCTCACATTGCTAAAGAAATTGCCTTATGGGGAGAGCCAGCTATGAGAAGTCTACAGAAAGATAAGGAATGTGAAATTGCAATCAGATGTAGGGTTGTTGAGGCAGAGATTGAGAAGAAAATAAAAGCCTTTTGAAAAGATATAAAATCTCAGAGGAGAAGAATGCAGCGAAGTTTTATGCTATTTTTGGGTCAATAAACAATTCCTTTTTAGTTTAAACGAGGTATGTGCTTGCAGGGTCTCTGCATGTGGCTAAAGGTGTTGGTTGGCCTGAATGGAAGTGCTAACAGGAGCTGTGACTTTTGCTAATAGTCTGGGTACCTCAAGCCCTTCTTCCCATGAATCACTTCCAAAATGCTTCCATTGGTAGGCACTCTTACTATTAATCTTGGAACTTGGCGCTGACTTCAAGCAATATTGTTACTCTTTCTCATTTGAACACATGAAATTTTTAGGGAGCAAATGGATTATGAGTATATGGATTACTAAAAGCAAGTACTGTATAAAGAAGAGTGAGTATTCTTTGTTGTGTGCAAGTTTGTTTTGTTAGCTTTGGTGAGCATTTGCTAGTGAGAAGTCTATCACATTATTTCTGAAAACATTTGCCCAGTCTGAGCTCATGCAGGCTAACATTTACTTGAGACTAAGAGTGCAGCCTCTGGAGCTGACACAGAGGTTTGGAATAACTTTCTGATTGTATCATTCTCAGTCTCTTCCATTCCTTGCAGAATGAATAGTAGTAGTCCTTACAAATGCTATCAGGGCATCTGTAAACTGATATGATTGCTGTAACTCAGTCCAGAAGTTTCAAGTCATATCTATCTCTGATTTTTTTCTAAGCATGAAAAATTCCTATAAGAGGAATCCATAAATATGATATGAAAAATAGTTATATTTATTCCAGATCTTTACTAATATAGAATTGTGTTTTATGTGGAAATGCTTAGATTTCTTTGTTGAGTTCTGAGTTTATAACAGTAGTGGTGATGAAAAGGGGATTTAACTTCTAAGGGAATATCATATGTGACTTAATTAGCCCAGACATCTATTAATCAAAGTGAAGCATCAAAATTAAAGACTTTCACATAGCAATCTTGCAGTCAGCTAGGTCACCATTTCTGCAGTGAAATGCCACCTTTGGCGAATAAATATATCAGTGTACTATTGTGACACAGGTATAATGATGTCAGCATTTCTTTACTTGGAGGGTGTAAAAGCTAAGAGAGTTTGTGTGTACCCATTGAGAGAATTGGAAACATCTATCACTTTCACTGACAGATTTGTTTCTGTATGTATCCATTCTACTAAACTGTGTATGTTGAAGTATTATATTTTCCCAGATGTGCAACAGATGTTTTAAAATATCAACTAGAGTTTTATAAATTATACAGATCAATTCTAAGTCATGTTAGAAGTACTATTACTGCAGTGCTAAAAATGATTTATATGTCCAGGAGTAATAGAACAGTTAATACACAGGGAAGATTACACTGGTTAAAGGTACACGAGAGACAATACCAAACAAAACTTTTCCTGTAGACTTTGTGTTGAGCACCTTCGAAGCCTGTAAGGGTGAATTGGTTCTTGGTTTAGCTCTTAATTTTCAATTATATCTACTTGTCTTCTAACAAGTTGCCTCTATTGAGTAGACATGAAAGCTACATCATTAAATTGAAAATATTGTGAGCCAGCTGAGTTGGTGCCTGGCACAGGATTTATTCCCCTTCAGAAATATGACTTTATTTTGTTGTGATTCCACCTACAAGGCAGGGTTTGTATAGTCTAACTTGAAAATGTACACAAAAATACCTCAGCTAAAAGGAGTATTAAAGCATAACTAGTGTAAAGCATTGATGCAAATCTGTTTCTAGCCTGTTTCCTCCACTCTTATCTCAAACTGATTCATGCTACTGGAATTCACTACAGAAAGAGACTGCTCTTGAGATGAACTAATTGCCATAGTTTTTCTTCTTCTCTATTTCTGTCAAATCAACATATGTAAGAGTCTCACTGAAAAGCTTTCTGTTCTGTGGAATGTTAGATAGAGGGCAGATGTAGTGCTGTCTTTACTACTCAAACTGTCTTTTATTGATTGGCTTTGGAACAAAGTGTTCCATCATGGTTACAGAAAAGACAGGACAGCTCATTGAAAACGTAAGTTGTTGAGCTGCTCTCCTCAGGAGGCAGCTGTAATAGGTCTTGTTTGCTCAACCAAGTGTTTAACTTGCACAGAAGTTATTATTCAGGTGGTGCAATTTGCATGCAATACTTCTCCTTAGAACCTCTGCTCATTTAAAAGTTGTGAATAATTAAAATAAGTTTAGATAGTGAACAAAGTTAGCAGGTATATGGTGCTCAATACAAATTCTGTCTGCATCCTAGCTGTAAAAAGGAAATAATTTTTGGGATACATCCAATCATAATCTAAAGCTTGTGGTAAGTTTTACCTATAATACTTTTACTTCAGACAGTTGTAACACAGGAATTAAGAATCTCTTTTTGAGAAATAAGGTTTGTACATACTTTTACCAGTGAAAGTGATTGATGATTTAATTGAGCAATTTTCAGCAAAATACCTGTCCTATGAAACAAAAAGCAAAGTTAATCTGACCTGTTTTGTCTGCCTTCATTCACCATAATTTAAACAGTTAAAAAAAGTTATTAAAAGTAGCTCAAATAACAAAGATGTGGACTGGACAGTCCCATTCCCCCCACCCCCCCTTTATTTCTGTCATTCAAATGTTATTCAAAATGGACATATCTCTGAGGAGAAAAGTTTTCCCTTAAGTGTTTGGTAATACTACATGCCAAGAAATCCACCATATAAAAACATAGCATCATGCGTATCAGTGAATGGCCTGTCAGACAAACTGTTCTTGGTTATAGGACAGATTACATTACACATTGTAGTTGTGTTCCCTATGCATCAGTTGTTTCTCAGCACTTACAGCAGCAGCAATGGCTTCTTTGTCTTTGTGCAGGATGAGTCCATTTTCTAAGGCTTAACTTCATCCCTCCCAAAATAAGCGATCGCTTACGATGTGAATGGCTACTCATGTCAAAAGATCTTATTGATATATGCTGGTGGCCTCATACAACAGTGTATGTAACCTTCTGATAGCTTGATTCCACACTGTACCTTTTATGGATAAAGCCAAATGGAATTTTGTAGCTTCAATCTATCACATCCTTCCTCCATTAAAAGTGCTCAATTAAATTACTGGCTATTTTCCAGTTAATGAGAGATGAGAGGTAAAGATGGCCTGTTTGTTTTTCCATGTCTTTCACAGACAGTAGATCAGTACACCTTCAATGTAGAAAAAGAATGTCATTCTCTTTCCTGTGATCCTTTGCTTGGAAATTTAACAACCAGTTCAATGTGAGAGGCAGAAATCTTCATGCAGTGTAGTAGTTCACTATGTAATTGAAAAATGTCATACTATGCAGACATAAGGGGAAGAAGGTATTGTTGCCAAAATAATTTTAGTTCTAGTATTCTTTAGCTATTCCATGCCTAATTTTACCTTCCTCACCCCAGTCTGTTCAAAGGATCAACATACTTCTTTAACCCATTACTTTAAAAATTGTTTCTTCTATGTTTGAAATTTCTATAATTCTGGGTTTATAATGGAGTATTATTGGAAAGTGAGCAACCTCTCCAACCTTTATTATTCGTTTAGCCTCACTGGATTCTTCCTGGAATTGATGGAATGAAGTGGTCTCCTGAATCTAAAATTAATATCTCTGAGTACTGTCATTATATCCATGTAATTTCATTAAAATATTTTTAATATTTATGTGTCTTTGTCAGTCTCTTTTAACTTGAACGTGTGGGTATAAAATTCAAGTCAGGAATTAAGTGAAAATAAGCTTGGTTTTTGAGTACAGAGGCAGTAATGAAACATCAAAGTATTTTAAGATTAAATGATGTGATATAGCTGTGTGGGTATCAAAATGGCAAAAGTGCTGATACACACGTTTTAAATAAAATTTCTTGCAATTTCAGAATAATCTTTAAGAATATTTGGTTAACTCATTTCAGCATGTTTGTAACTCTAATTGTTCCTTCTGCTCTAAGTGAGGTACCAGCTATGTTCTTTTGAGATTAAGAAAATTGCTGTTGCAGACAACACACGCAGATGACTTCCCATTGTGTACTATTTTCACTGTGCTACTTAAGTTTCATCATAATTTGATATCATAGTTCAACCATGTCACTTTTTGTTAAAGGAACAGGAACAACTATTCATCTTCAACCCTCACCATATGGTGGAGATATTGATATGCAAGGAGCCATTAGTCAAATTAGCATTTTCTGCAAACCATGCTCATCTGTGTAACTGATTCAATAATTGCATGTGCTCTTTCTTCTCTGCAATGAAGCTTATTATCCTTGCTAATTGAAAGGGGCTAGGCTCCTTTTGGCAAATCCATGAACTGAGTAATTCAGTTTTGGAAAGAAGCTTTCAGGTTTTTCTTCACGTTTTTTGCTGATGGTGGTTGTTTTTGGAGAGAGAAAAATGTCCATTAGTATAATACTATAATATGTTACTATACAATGATCAAGAACTTTTTCTTACTCTTGGTACAATGAAGGCTTCTTACTATTTTAATACATCTGTTCAAGGATGAGGCTATTGTTAAAACCAGGAGTTTGTTTTTCTTTCAGACTTACCCTTGAAGCATTTTTACATTCTTATGTTTAGAATGGAATAAACCCACTTTACTTAAATATTTTGCATATTTTGCCATTCTTAATTTTTGTGGTTTTTTTCTTTGAGTTATTTGTTTTGTCTTGTTTTTAAAACTAGCATCTTTTGAGCAGTCTGTCTTATGATGTGTGTGGCTACATGATGGATGAATGACTTTTACACAGTTAACTTGTTACTCCATTCATCAAAATGATTTTATAACTTTCCATGGCAAATACTGTCCTTCTTTTGAAAATTTCTGCTTTTGCTCCTACAATCCCAAAATTATCATCAGGATTGTGGTCTGAAGCACACAGCCAGCAACTGAAACCTTTCTAAGTTAGTTCTGCTATTGTATGTCAAAAAGTTCTCAGCTCTTTGTCATTACTAAAAAATGTTTTGGATTTCTTTTAAACAATTTTTTTTTTCTGTGAAGATGATCAAGTGCCTGTCATCTTGGGTCCAAGCCTCACATTTAGCAATGCTCAGCATTTATTGAATATAAGTGTCTGCAGAAACTAGTTCTGCCCTGAGAAGGCCCGGGTCCTACAGGGCTCCAGGGAGACCCCAGAGTGTCAGCACTCAGGTGTCTTATGGAGAAATAAGTTTCTCGGTCTTGTGTTGCCATTTGAGGAATTTTAACTCTCTTTGCCTCCAAATGCCAGAATTTTGTATTGCCCTTTAGTCTCCTGCCCAATAATCTCAGAAACTTACAGACTCCTTAAATATAAGTTTGATGCTGAAGTCTATTTCACAAATACAGCCTTCCTGCTCTGGGATTGTGGTGGCTTTTAAAATTTTGTGAATGCTTTTTTTCTGCAGCCTTGCTGTGATTATCTGTAGTCTGTGGCTGGCTGAATGTGCATAAGTAAAGCCCACTTGGATATACCTTATTCTTCTTAGTAACAAATTCCTCAGTTTCCCTCTCATTTATATTTAGTCCTAATATCTTGTAGTCCTTCCTTAAATGAATGATTCCATTTAGAGGCAGAATACAACATAAAATATAGCAGTCCATTAGAGCCTTACCAGTTTGCTACAGATTTACCTAAGCTGTTTAGTTTCTATTATAATTCCACTCAGGAGCTTCATGTGCCCTGTTTCTCCTCCCTTATCCCACTTATCTTTTGAGAACATAAAGCACAAAATGATAATTTACTTGTCTGCTGTCTACCTCCTTCTAGGCTGTCTCTCTAGGTGTACCCTTAATGTCTCAAAGAAATTCAGTGGTCAATTGCATTTATTAATGTATACACATAGCAATCATATTCTTTTCCTGCAAAACACTGGGTATTGAATTCATTGCAGCAGTTAAACAAATATCTGCATAAGGCAAGTTATGGATCAGGCTGTGCCTCAGTGCCTGCCCTGCCCAGGGCAGAGCAGTGCTGGGAGCAGTCTTGCTGAGTTGGCTGTTGGGAAATGTCTGAAGAAGGTCTGTTATCAGATGATGATGCTACTTTGGGGTGATAGATTGCCCAGCCCCTCCCTACCTCTGCTTCTCCTAACTGCAGGGCACTGTGCTCCTGTCTGCCTGCAGTTTTGGAAGGGAATGCAGGAGAGAGAACCATCTCCTCCTGCCCTCAGCTCTGTTCTCCTTCTGTCTCCTTTCCCCAGGAGAAAGGACTGATGTTTGTTTGGCAGCCCAGTCTTGCCCCTTTTATACAGCATCCTTTACCACCAGTCTGTCCCTTGTGAAGACCCTTCTCCATGTATACCTCACCTTGTCTGCTTCCCAGCCCTCTCCTAGGAAACTCCATTGTAGACCACAGGAGAGCAGCAGTGCACAGCCACCTGATTCCCTAGCTGGTATTCACTTAAATTGTACGTAACTGAAGGATCTCATTTTCAGGCAGTGCTGAATAGTCAAAGCTCCTGGGACGATCAACATGACTTAAACCTCAGGAAAAGTCACATGCATAATGATGGAGGGCATTCTTTAATTCTCAAACTGGAGGTAGTTTTTATTATCTATAGTAAACTGTGGCATACAATCAGAGCTGAAAGCATATTTACCTTAATGGAAAATGAAAAATGTACTCCTTCGTCTGTTGATTAAATCTCTTGTGTGCTACAAACCTTTCTTTCCATGGCAGTTGCCACTATTATTGTCATTACAGCTCAGGTGCTCTAGGACAATTAAAGTAAGATCAGGAGGTGTCTGCAAATCAAGCAGTTCTATAAACAACTTCTATATCAAGTCAGCTGCTCCTGACATTCAGTCAAGCAACTGACAGCTGCAATGTGTAGCAAGGCTTAGTCCCCTTTCAAATAAAAGAAACTTCTGGCATGAATGGTTTTAGCCCAGGGCTCTGAAATTGAGAAGACAGTACTTTCAGGTCCAGTTGTAGATAACAGGAAGCTTAACAGATATAGCCATAAATCAACAACAAAAAAATTAACCATCAGTGTACTTTTGTGTGAGAAAATCCTGTTCATCTTTCTTAGTTCTGTGTATCTAGAGCACCTCATCCACAAAATTTTCCTCTCCATCAAGTAAGATAATAGGTAGGAATTTGGTGGTGGGTGTGGGTGAGCTGAGAAGGTGGTTGCTTAGCATTTATGCATTGAATGGAAAAAAAGAGTGATTTGAGACCTGCTAACTTTCAGTATGCTCTGGGGGCTATGGTGGAAGGGCTGACTGCTCTGGAGGTCTGCTGCTGCAGTGAGACTGCGTCAGCCCAGAGACAATGAGGGCATGCAACACCAGGGGACATTTGTCCTGCACCCCAACAATAACAGCAGTCCAGAGAACGGTAATCTTGTATCTTATGGTACAAAATCCCCGTGGTGTGACCTGCATGTGTCCTATATAGGCAAGCTGCTGCTGCTGCTGAGTTTTGACATGGAGGCTGGGATTATTTCTGTGCATCAAACACACCACCAGTTTTCATCCAGACTGTAACTAAGCATTACATCCTTGGGGCTGGAGATTGCATTGCTGGCTGGAGAGCTGCACGCTTGGTTGTGAACAGCTGTGTGGGAACAACAGCAAGTCTGTGGCAATGCTGTAACTCTCTGAAAGCCCAGGAGACTCCTCTATCCCATAGATAAATCACCTCTCAAATCACCAGAGATTAATAGATCCCCAGACTTTAGACAGTTGATTTTACCATGAAATCTGGGAAGAAATGTAAATAAAGAGATAAGAGAAGAATTTGAATAAATTAAATTATATTAATAAAAAAAATGGAAAAAAATCTGAAACAGATTGAAAACAATGAAAGCGAATGGGATGACAAGAAGTGCAGGGAAATGGACCTAAGCTTGCCCAATTAATCCTCACTGAAGTTGCAAAATTTCATTTCCATTCAGGAAAGGGAATGAAATCTTGAAATCAGAGAACAAAGTCTAACAAACACTAGGGAAAGGAGATATGATCAGAAAAAAGGAAATGAAAAAAAAACCCAGATAATTTGGGACTGCAGTGACTACAACAAAATGGAGGGAGATGACATGAGGTGCAGTGAAAAGGACACAAACTTTCCAAAATTACTTCAGTTTAAATACGGTCATCAGTATAGGA